TCTTGTTCATCCCGTTGAGGAGAAGCAGTTTGTTCATTTATTGGGCAAGGAGCAGAGATTTGCCAGATGAATTGATGGGTTCCCCACTGTCAGACCTTCCTCACCCACGTCAGGGCGCGTCCCCCATCTGCGTCTCCCCCATGTCCTCCAGAGAGCTGCCGTTCCTCCTACAGGGATCTCCAAAAAACTTCCTGAGTTTATGAAAACTGGTGAAAAACTATCTAGAGTGAACTGTCTTATATTAAGCAGTTTGTATCTGATGTAATTAATCAGGTTTGAGTGACCAAACACACAGAAAATAAACCCCAAAAAAAAAGTACTAGAGAGAGCTGTGCTGAGGCTGCCTCTTGTAGTGCCATCATGCCTCGATATATTTAAGGAGCTAGAAAATAATCTTGGTTAATATAAATTATCATGGACAAATATTGAACAGACTGTAGTAGTTCTAGTTAAACAGGGCCCAGTTGCCCAAATGCATGTTAGTGTTAAGATCGTCTTAACTGGTAGAGAAAGTATTCAGCGTGATACTCACTCTACCACTTAAGAATCATCCTTGTGATAAAATGCTTTCGGGAAACCCAGTCCAGTTCTGTAATTGCTGATAAGATTATCAGTTGTTGCATGTTTTAAACTCAAATAAACAGCAGAAACTTGCAGTGTCTTATATAATATATTTTAGCATGGGGTTGTGTTATGTTGTTCTCATACTAAAAGTTAGATTTGGATGCATTTTACATGTTTTTGTTATATTAAGTTTGGCTGTGATTTGTGTTCTAGTTTAACAGTACAGCCTGTTTAGATGTTGTAAAAGAGGTGAGCTGGTCATGCCCGTCAGCCTAAACCGATTTTTGAAAGTTTCTGCATTATTAAATAGCGAAGAGGTAGTCAAAGTAATTTAGTGTTCTCATGTGAAAATGCTCCATTCTAGAGTTAGCAATTCAAAATTTTTCACAGTGGTAGTGATAAGTACTAGGCCTGGGCAATAGGGCAATGGAACCGGATATTGTCAGTGATGGACAAGTAACCTGATGGGGATGTGTAAAAGGTGATAATCACTTTTTTGGTAAAAAGAACTGAGAGAGAATTAGAGAGGACTAAATTACCACTAAACAGCTTGCAAAATACGTTAGGAAAATGGGGTTCACATTTAAAAAAGTGTGTGGGCTCATGTTGTCTTTTCTGAGAGAGGGAGAGGGAGAGGTTTGTTTAGAAACTGCCTGTGTTTCTCTGTGCCATGCACTGTAGTGCTAGCTTTGCTGCATGAATTTCTCTTAATTTACTTTATTCAAATGGAATCGAAAATAAATGCTGACGTGCTTTGAAACTTCAGTTCGCCTCAAAATGACTTGCTGCAGTAAAAAATGAGCTAAAATGACTGGAAGTTAGCATAGGTCAGCTAAGTTAACTCTAACCTGGAGGGAACGTTCAGTTTAGTGGATTTTTTAAGTAGAATATATGGTGCTAGTTATTTTTAGATCTCTCCCAGGTGTAGTAGGTACCTGATCTCTGAAGACTTTTTTTCTTAAAGATTCATCACAGTACAATATTCCATGAAATGGAATGGCATGTTTTAAATTCATTCATGGTGGAGAGGCTACACGCAGGATGTTACCTCTCCAAAAAAAAAACCTCTCTGAAAACCACTCTGAATGACTTTGTTTGCATCTCAGTGACTGAATTATGCAGAAATTGTGATAAATCGATGGAATTCCCCTTTAACAGTCTCTATAAAGTGAATAATTTTCTATCAGAGGTATCTATTACAATACAAAACAAGCCTGTCAGTGTTGTGTTTTTGAGATTTTTGCTGATGCTAATAAAAATGTGAGAACTCAATATCTGCTTCTGGCCAGTTTATTTTCAGTTGACACGTAAAATTAAATAAGAAAAGCCCATAATCCACTTCAAAGAAGAAATAGGGAAAATCAGTAACTAAATGAATAGAGAGAGTCCACTTCCTCAGCACTAAAATACTCTCTAGTCTCTAGTTCATCAGCTTGCTCTCTCATGTTTCCATCACACAACAGGTGGCTGTATCAGAAGGGCTCTGTTCACTGCCTTTAGGCCTGCTGCAAAGCTCTGCATTATTTAAACTGTTGCACTCTGTTCTATTGCTTCAGAGTGTGACTGTAGATTCTCTCTGCTCACCCAGTCCTTTCAACATGACTGCATGTTGTCATTGTATAAGATCTACTACCGAAATCATCTACTTTATATTTAGTGCAGGAACTCAGCTAAATAAAACCCTGATTAAAGCTTCATTGCAGTTCATAGAACGTCATCCGCTACTGGTAGGCATCACACCTCTGCAACACATAGACCTCTAAAGTCATGTGTCGTTCTTTAAGTTGGCATCATATCTATGTTAGGAACTCCAGCACTGACATGGTTCTCTCTGTGACAATACTGAATGGAATTTTAGGGTCTCTATACCTTGTAATAATAAACTAAGCCTCTGTTGGATCATCTATCCAGTTTTTTATATATATAAGTATGTTATTCCATGTTTCCCCTTCATATGCAAGTCCTTATTAGACTAAGGGCTGTCCTGCTTCTGTCTACCAGAAGTTAATGGCCTGTTCCCAATTTCATACTTAGTGTGCAGACTTGAGAAGGAGACGTGTTTGAAATCTGTTGTGTGTGGAGCGTTAAACAGGATGTGGCTCATAAAGATTGCTTTAAATCTCACTCATTAGCGAGGGCTGGAACAACAGGCGTTGGGGCGTGCTCGGACTAACTTCCCACTTTGCTTTCGGCCACAAACTGCTTTTAAGTGCGAGAAACCAAAAACTGCAGTTCTAAAACTCCTTTTTTAAACATTCTGTCTCTCTTCCCTTTTTCCGCAGCCTTGCCATTGACTATAGCATGGCACTGAGTACAAGAAGGTGGAGCATTAGTTCCTTTGTGCCCTCACCGCTTTTTCTCCTTATAAGCTTTCCTACATACACAAAGATTTGGTGGGTTCAAGGATGGTTACATAGAATGAAATACGCTCACCCATCCCAGTATAGTTTCCCAAAACAACATCTGGGTTCTCACAGATCAGAAATATGAGGAAGTTGAACACCAGTAAAGTCACACAAATTAATGATGTTAAGTGAAGCAGGCAGGCTGAAATGTTTGCTAGAATATAGTGGTGGTTTTGTGGGGTTTTAGAATCAACCACAGATGTGCATCACCAATGGTAATTTGAATGACAGGCTGCGAGTTTGGAGAAAGCTAAGGCAAGTCAAGTCAAGTCAAGGGCCTACAGGTGAATGAAGTTATTATGTCTGTATTGGTAATTAAGGGTGTAAATCTCTGACATAAAAATAGGAAAGAATGCACTACATCATGAAATCACAAATTTTACCAGAGCTCTATTTGACTAATTTAGTACAATTCAGAATTATTTAAGAAGAAAACACTGAAAACAGAAAAGAGCTGTTGACATGGTAGTGGAAAAAAAAAAAACCAAGTGTTTTCTGTTATGTTGAATATTTTGGCCAAAAGATTCATACATCCTTTATTAACTATACTATAAAAACTGGATAGATGATCACATAGAAATTTAGTTTATTATTACAAAGTGTACAGATTAGAATAGTTAATCTTAACCCAGTGGCATGTGCAGTGTTTTTGAGAGAATTATAAAACATGACGTGGAAACATGCTTTCACTAACAGCTAACTTAATTGTGATGTTTAGACAGTGCAGATTTTTACTCTCGACGTGATTACCCTGCTTAACCCCTTACATGGCCAGGGCTCACCGGTGGGCGGCCCATGCCGGTGGAGGTGTGTTTATTACACACTTCCATAACCTATAGCACAGCTCAACCAGTTTACATTGAAGTCTGTGTACTGAATAATAAGCCTTAGTATGCAATAAGCCTTGGATTTTAAGGGTTTAAATAGAAGTAGAAAAACACTGTGTATTGAATAAAGACTCAAGCTTGAGCAAGAGAAGTCCAGTGGCTGTTGCTGGAGTGACAGAAACACAGAATCTAATCTGTTCTGTGCTGTGCTGAGCTGTTAGCCTGCTAGCTAAGCTAGTGTTAGCCTCATAACCAGTACCACTGCACTGTCCGAGTTAGCACTGTTTAACATTTAGCAGTTGTTGTTGTTGTTAGATTGATGGTTTATTGACTGATGATCTAAATATCTTCTCGATATTTTCTTATTAATAGTGAGTGTGTTTACATGCACTTAAGAATCCTGTCATTAGAAGATTTCAGCAGTTATCTGATTTTTCCAGTTGTCATGTAAACAGCATACTCCAATTTCTTAGATTGAGGCCTAGAAATCTGACAAAGAGAGCGGGATTTTAGCTTAGCAGTTGGGTTTTTCAGCATGTGTGTACCCTTACTCTGATTTCTTTCATTTTTTCAGTCTGCGCATGCGTGAAAACAGACCACTGTCCTGGAAACAGCAAGTAACGTTTAACACAGCACTCGTGAGATGGCAAAACACTTTGGGAGTTTTGCTCAAACCAACTACATGCTTGACGAAAATAAGAATTTTAATATTTGTTATGTTCTAGATGATGTATGTACGTATTTTCTGGTAAAGTGACAATGTTTAAAAAAAAAAAAAGCTGCAGCATGACATTTGGGTTTTATGATATGTTTATGTCACGTTTTATTCTGTGAATTTACTGGCTGTTTGCAAAGTAGAAGTCTGATTACTGCCTGGCTCTTGTAGTCATGGAGATTTCCCATTATCTGATAACCCAAGTGCATGTAAATGCATTGAATGATTTGCTGACAAAGTGGGATTTTCTGTAGTTATCAGATTATTAAGTGCATATAAATGCACTCAGTGTTATGATAGGATCTTATTTTTCCATTTTGCTGTGCTTTGTCTCCTCCATGTGCTCACTTTGTCGAAAAATATAGGCTTGTTTTCTCCAACGTTGCATTTTGAAATTGTGTTATAGTGTAGTCATAGTGTATAGTTATAGTGTTCTAAAAATGCAGTATGCAGGGTTGTGTGAGGAAGGTGTGGTATTCGCAAGTGGGTGGACAGTGGGGGCCCGCATAATTTTGAATATTAATAAATCTTCACATTCTTAAAGAGCTTGTATGGATGCTCCTATATGTCATTTTTTTGTTTTAAATTTAGTGGTGCTTTAAGGGCCATGCTTTGGCTGAACTGTTGAAGGAATAGTCAGGAAAAAGCATGCTTTTATAGAATTTTTAACTTCCCTTTTGGCTAAACCCCGTAGCTTTTCTCTCTGAGAAGTTGCTCTGCCACCAGGCGTCTTGCTTCCGTGTCTTGCTCATGGCGAGGGGTAGGCACGGCATGCAGCAGTAGCTTGTGGCTTCTTTGAGTGCTGTGTTATGAAAGTGCCTCTTTTAAGCCTAGCTTGGCAAGTTGAGGGCGTTTCACAGAGAGGAGACATTTCCAGTAAGTGTGTTTTTCTCTCTTTTAGTTGAACGAGGATGTACGTTCAGTTTTAAACATATCAGCTGTATCTGGAGAACTCCTGTAGGAATGTATTTGTGAATGTGAGTGAGCATAGTCTGTATTCTGTTTGTGTGAGACAGCGTACCTCAAGTTCCTTGTCTTTAGTTTCACATCCTTTAGTTATCTGAAAAATACTTGCAGTTCCCTTCAGCAAATAATGGTCTAGGCAGGAGCAGTTTATGACAGTTTTACATCTTTTCTTTTACTACATCCATAAACTGCACTTTTAAAGCAAATATAATAGCATATTCCCATATGTATTATTTGTTTGCTTTGAAAAATGAACTCAGGCCTAGAGAGGATGTTGTGAAGCAGTGTGATATTTAAACCCAGCAGCCTTTTAGCGCTGCTTGGTCTTTTTCTGTGTAGTGCTGAGCAGACTTAGAAACTGAGAGCTGTGTTACTCATGACTGGCTTCCTCCCTCTCTTCCTTAAAAACACTAACAGGAAGTTGACAGCTACTTATTAAGCATTGCCTCATCCATACCCTATTAGGAGTCAGAGTAGGCTTATTCATGTTCTTTTGATCCATTTTGAACCAAAGGCAATCAAGGATCAGAGCTGCTGTATCTGCATTACAGTTATGGTAGGATTTTCTTGTACATTACAGTACAGTATTCAGTTTATAATTATGGCAAGTACTTAGGCCAGTCTTTATTCACACTTTAACCTAAATTTGGAGTGGATATATAGGCAGTATGTCATTGTTGAGATAAGTTGTGTCATGTTATGCATTTCTGAGTATATTGTGGATATTGTCAGTACTCCTAGCACACTGAACAACAGCTTATATTACAAAAAAGACTTACACCAATTAAGAGAGCATGTAAACAACAAGAATGGTGCATAGTAACAAGTAGCTGATTCATTGTCAGGCCATTATTATCTTCTTTTATTCATTTTTAACCTGTTTGCAAACCTCAGAAAAATGTATCTTCACGAATTGTGATATGTTTTTGCCACCGATACATTTTTGCAGCTGCGTGAATCAGCTGTAAAGTCCCAGGCAGCTTTGACTGTAAGCTTCATCCTGTTTTGCATGAAAAGACTTCTACTGCCATAAGCAGGGACTGGAAAAGGATTGTCATGGAAAAGGTTTGCCTTTATATGTCAATGTCTGTGTGCTGCTGCCTTCGTGTAATCCATGCAGATTGAGATACTGCACCTCAGTTTTTGCCTAGCTGCAGTGGTAATTGTATATTTCTACTGACAAAAAAGTTGGAAGTAGTGTCAGTAATACTTTATAATTCTAAAACGTTATTAGAATTAGTAACCCTTTCTCTGCTGCTGTTCCATTGACACAAGACAAAGATTACTAGATCGTATCACAGATTAGGACATGATTTTAATTTGTTTACTACACTGTGTTTCTGTATCATCTGCTCCTATTTACAGATGAGCCAAAACATTACGACCACTCACAGATGAAGTGGATAATGCTAATTATCTGTTAACAGCGACACCTGTCAAGGTCTGGGATATATTACACAGTAAACTGTCGGTTCTTGTAGTTGATATGTTGGATGCGGGAGAAATGGGCAGTTGTGAAGAACTGACTGACTTTGACAAGGGCTAAATCATGATGGGCCGAAGGCTTGTGGGGTGCTCTTGCTTAGCAGTAGAGTACCTAACGACAGTGTTCAGAGGAGGGACAAATCCAGAACCGTTGACAGGGTGTTGGGCACCCAAGACTCATCAATACATGAGGGCATCAAAGTCTGTCCTGTCTGGGGTAACTGTAAGTTTGTAATGATGGTTATGGGAGGAATGTGGCTGTTCAGCTAAGCTGGTTGAACATGTGGTTTCAACTGAGTTGCAGGATGCTTTACATTATGCAACTCAAGAGCAAGTTAGTTTCATGTAATTTTCAAGCAGTCAAAGTTGCCTGAATGTTTCACAGTGTAAAGCCAGCCTTAGCTCTCAGAATACAGCATCAGGTTTCACACATCAGGAAAAACATTTTCTGGACAACAATTTGTGGCCAACTTAAAGATGAGGATATACAATATATGGCAACTTTTACTGAATTGAGCTATTATTTTTCAATTATTATAGCAGTTGCTATGACTTTACCTCTACCATCTGTTTCAGAGTTAAAGTCTGTCTTACAATTGGCAGAAGAAAAAGTGTTGCTGTTATTGCTGACATTTCACTATTATCATTATGCTTAATACGTAACATCTAAGGTAATAACTAAGATAATAATTAAAAACCTAATAACGGTTTCAGTAATGTTTCTTGTTTTGACAAACCAGAAATTCAGAAATATTCTTTAATGAGGGATAATATGATCATAGTATAATACCATAAATATGTTAAGACATATGAAAACTAGTAACTATAGAAGGAAATATCCTGAAAGTCTTACTGTAATTTGTTTAAGGAATCTTAAGGGCCTGTGTCAGTCTTTTTAGAAAAAAATCACAGCATGACTTGTCTGTTCTGTAATTACAATCAAGAATATCTCTACACCTTAGGCTGTAGCAGCTGGAGGTTCGGAGATTTTCTTCTCCATTTTTTCAGCCATCTGTTTAACAAATGCTCAAAATGATGATGCCACAGGATGCCATAGCGACCAGGGTCCTAATATAGCACAGCCACAGTCTTTGGAAGCTGCAATTTGTGCTTCCCTTGAGGTACACAGAATATGATTTTACAACATTGCCCACAATGAAATCTGCGCTCTATGTAGAGGTCAATTGCTAAACTTATGTTGTGTTTTCAGAATGCTCCAGATTTTCCCAGAAGATTTTGGCCGGTCCGAGATTTTTAGACGTGTCTTGGGCTGACTTTAAATTAAATATGTGTCATCTTACTGAGTCAGCTTAGGATGACAGTACTTATTGCTTACATCAAGTTATGGTTATAACAGTGGAGAAGACAGACTGGTTGTCTCTGTTTATCTGATGTGGTGCATGGTGAATGTTAATTTAACTCAGGGTAAATTGATAGCAGTGTTTTAAAATTCCACCCAAACCACCTCCAAGATATATATTTAAATTTTGCAGAAGTCTCTTTGGAACCTGTACCCATCTTTCTCGGTTCCAAATGCAGTGCCACTCACAGAAGCCTACTCTATCTAATTCTGGTGCTGCTTTTGTAGTTTTAATTGGGTCAGTCTTGGGTAAGTGGCCTGGTTTTCGCGGAAAATGTAGCGGTCGTCTTTATATAAGTGTGAGCCCATTCTGCCAGTATTGTGGTGTGCATTGACCAGGGCAGAGTCATATAACCTGTGTTTTGTAGAAAAGGGTGTATATGTAAAAGTTGTCTCAGGAAAAATAATGTCCCATGACAGTCAGAAAATGAAAGGTTTGTGTCTTAGAACATCACTTCAGAACTGCAGACAATGGACTTATTCATTATAGTAGTGCAAAAAGGAGCACAGACTCGGCTGCCTTTAATGATGTATAAAGTACTCTGACTCATAAAACTTTAATGTGACGTGGAAATGAGGGGAGATTTGAGCACAAATGATGAATCAGCTTTAGTGCATGAAATCAAGTGGGAGACAGTACCTAATTTACATATCATTTGCATAAAGAACACCCTAATTCACGTAGATATTTCATTAGGGAGCCACAAAAACCACAGCACTCACTGGCTTGTGAATGCTGCCTATGGATGTACTCGTAGGCGAAATTTGAACTTTATAGTGTTAAAATTAAGATGACTGGAGAGAATAAAATGTGAAATAAACAAAACAACTTACTGTTTTTAAGACAACAGAATGATGTGATGGTATTGTATGATTATTTTAAAATAACATATGTAAACACTGTATTATTGCATCGTAGGAGTTTTGCAATGTAGATGCTTCTGCACTAGCTGAGTTTTGGATTTTTTTTATTTTTGGGCAGTGTCAGTAGGATAAAACAGAAGCACAGTGTAATATGTCTTTAAATGGGACATTCATTCACTGTTGCCCACTGTGGTTTCATGCCTAACCTAGCAAAAGTGGGTCTCTCCATCATATGACTGCTCCCTCAGCCCAGCTGTAATCAGATAAGAGCTTGAAGCCTCTCTCTCATTACGCAGACACTCGCAGTGAAGAGAGCACTAGAGCAAAACTGCTTTGAACTGTGAATAGGTAAATCAGACATTCTCAGGAAAATGAGAAAATCAGGGCTATCTTGCAGTGTCAGGACCAATGAAATGTAAAGCGTTTTTTGCAAAGGTTCTATGTTCTTTTTTTCAACTAAAAGAACAAAACCATTTCTTTTTGATTAATGAGGTTAATATTAGGGTTAGGGCAGGAATGCCCAATCCTGGTCCTGGAGCTCTGCCACCCTACATATTCCAAATTCAAGATAACTTGCTCTAGTATTTAGATGCCCCTGAAAGCCTTCATTACCTGGATCAGGTGTGTAAGATTAGAGTTGGAGTTAAACTCTGTAGGGTGGTACAAATTGGGGACCCCCGGATAAGGGTAAGAAAATGCTTATTACATATACAGCAGTGTGCAAAAATCAGATCCTTTCATTTATTTAATTTCTAGTCAAAACCGTTAATTACTTTATTCTTTTTTTCAGGGTCAGGAAAAAAAAAACAGGAGACATATAATTAACAGACGATTACATAGAATCCTTGCTTTAATAAAGATTTACTTTATTCACCCTTTGCTTTTATTACAGCTTCCATTCTTTTTGACAGTTTTTAGTTTGCTGCTCTTAGATGCTTCCCTTACATAGGCCACCATGTACCTCAAATTCTGATTCATTGTCTCCTTTGAGAACATTGTTGTAAGCAAATCTGTTGATTTACAGTATGCAGAACAAGCTTTTGTCAAAGGGAACTACAACAAGGGCAAGTTTGTCGAAGGGGAAATGTGCATATTCTACAATTATGTCTAATGTGTAATGTTTCTCTAAATCAGAGGTCTCCATCCCTGGTCCTGGAGAGCTATGTTCCTGTAGTTTAGTTTCAACCTGTATTCAGTAAGC